TCCACTGACATCAGTGATTTCAGCCTGTGGAAGAAAAAATAATTTATCTAATTGGAAAATGGCAACCAAGGATTGAAAAATTCTACATCAGACTTTTCCAAAGGAAGAGCATAAATGGACCATTCTCTTGAGGCTACAGTTCTATAAACTTCAAAGATACCAGCCATATCATAACCTGCCAAGCAGTGAGCTGAATGGGATCATCAAGCAGGTCCACAAAGCAGATGCTTTGTTGGATAAGGAGGACTGACAATCCCTGATTCTTCAGTCTATTTCCCATTTAGTTACACATAAGGAGGCAATCAACTTTCATTAATTTTATCCTCTCATCCCAATAAGAAATAAACACCATCTCCTCCTTGTTCCCCTGCTAGAAAGAAAGTAAGTTCAGGTCCTAATCCTTATACTAAATACAAGAGCAAGCCCCATGACCTTCCTTCCCCTGAAGCCATCAGTTTCTCCCCAGGACGGCCTTAATAAGTGCAACCTAATGAATCTTACCAGATTTTTCCAATGAAGAGAATTCTTATTTGTATTATTTTAAATATAATAGTGATATTTTCTGACCTCAAATTTTTTAAAGAGAGAGAGAGAATTATTTATTTTTTTAGTTTTCAGCGGACAAAACATCTTTGTTTTTGTATATGGTGCTGAGAATCAAACCCGAGCCGCACGCATGCCAGGCGAGCGCGCTACCGCTTGAGCCACATCCCCAGCCCTGACCTCAAATTTTAAAATCTATTTTGTAACAGCAAGTAGGTTTTCAGGATGAACACAGAAAGCATGTGGTAGAAAGAATGTTAGCACTTCACAGATAAAAATCATCTCAAGACTTCAGATGTGGATGCTGGAAATGAGGCCCAGTGGTAGAATTTTGCCTGGTGTGTGCAAGGTTCTGTATTTGATCCCCTGTGTAAATGGATGGATGGATAGATAGACAGATAGATAGATAGATAGATAGATAGATAGATAGATAGATAGATAGATTCCATAAATGGGAGACAGAGAGTAAAGGGAATAGCATAATTTGATTATATTCATATGCTGTCCTAGTAAAGATGAGGGAAGGAAGTGTTACAACCTTCTTTCCATTTATGGGAAAGAAATGAACCCTTTCTGGAAGAATGTAAGCTCTGAAATTTTATATTTTTCCCCATGTGATACCCGGTTCTTCACCAAAAAAGTTTTGGCATTTCAAGCATATGACAAAGTGGCCATCAGAAGGAAGAAACATACCTACTTCAAGGAACATTTCTCACATATTTTTATGCAGCCAGCACTATCTTGATATCTATTATCTAAGAAAGTTTTTGGAGGAAATATTATTGACAAAAAATCTGTTATAAGCACTGAAGACATGAAAACATGTGATAGATCAAATCCAGCTCTGTGTATGTATTTGCAATTTCTATATTTACTGGAGAAAATCCATCCAATATCATATAATCTAGCCCCCAGACGCTGAAAATCAATTGGTGTATACACATTCTTGACCAAAGTTTATACGAAATTAAGAGAAGAAAATTTCCCTTATTTGAAAAAGAACATCTACCAAATTGTACGTAAAACAACCTTCTCTGCAATGAGATAGAAAGCCTCTAACCATTCCTGTAGATAAGAAATTAAAAAAGAATGACTGCAATCATGTATTCTGTTCAATGTGATTGAGAAATCTTAAAAAGGGCAATAATGCAATAAAGAGAAATCAAGGATATAAAAACAGGAAATACATCAAATTGACTCAGACAAGAGGATAAAAAAAACAGACATTTCAAATGTATCTCAGGCAAACCATTGGCAATTACTAGGAAAGTTATTAAGTTTATGAGAGGTAACATCATCACAATGATAAAATCAAATATAATCCCACACACCAGTTAGAAAGAAGAGGCAAAGATGTGTTTAAATGACATAGCATGAACAAAAATATTCATTTTACAGGAAAAATTAACAAAATACTTATGAGTCACTGAACTGAAAAAAACATGACTGAGAATATTATATGAAGCAAAAATAAATTGAGAACATAATCATGAATTTAAAGAATCAACAGGTCAAGATATATCAATTCTTACTTAATTTGTCTATAGGTTTATTGTTCTCATGAGGAAAACCTAAGAAATCACTTGGGGAAATAACAAACTAGCTTTTTAATCAGAAATTGAATGCAACACTACTTAACTACTGAGCTACATCCCCAGCCATTTTTTATTTTATATTTTGAGTCAGGGTCTATCTAAGTTACTTAGAGCCTTGCTAAATTGCCAAGACTGGCTTACAACCTGCACTCCTCTTGCCTCAACCTCCTAAGCTACATGAGCCACCACACCCTGTGACAACGAAATTTTTAACCTTGGTATGGAAATGTAGACATTTAATAATGGCAAAAACAATGTTTAAAATGTAAAACCAATTTGGAAGGCTCACATGGCCAGATACAGCCACTTCTTAGAAAGCTTTATACCCAAACTAGAAACTACACACAGGCCATTAAGTAGCCAAATGTTTTGCAACTTGTCTCATCCTGTGTGTTAGAGAATTACAATCCTGCTATGGATTTGGGACCAGGAAGAACACTGAGGCGCAGCCCAGAAGAAACAAGCTTACCTTGGGAATGAGGTAATTTCTGAATTTAACATCACAAGTCACTGCATGGGGCACGTTGACTGGAAGGAGATTAATGTATCTCTGGATCTCATACAGCACAGCATCTGTGTAGGGCATGCGGCTTCTGTCCTGCATGCAGGGGCTGCGGTGTCTGCCAATCACACACTGAATCTCTTCCTGGACTTTAGCTGGTAAGACATAGGAAAGAAATGAGGGGATAGGAGAGAAAGGGCACATTTGTCATAGCAACTGAGTATCATGAGAAGCAGGAGAAAGATGTCCCAACAGCATTATGTATATAAATGATATGCCCAGAGGCACACTTACATATATAAACAGTGCCTCTGGGCATATCATTTATATTCATACACACACACACACACACACACACACACTCTTCATTAAACTACATTTTAAAGTAGATAGGAGCAAAGAAAGTAAATAAAATAAAAAATAGGACCATACTTATAAATTAGCAACCCACAGAATTAATATAAGTAGAACTAAATAATATTTTCAAAAAATTTAACAGAATATAAACACATCAAGAATTTACAGTTCTGGCAGAAAGAAAATGGGAATCAAATACTAAATTTACATGAAAATAATTTATGTTTAATATAAAGTACAATAGATTGATATATATGTATGAAGGTTTTGTATGAGAGCAATTTGCAGTGGAACTCCCATCATATTCCCACATCTTTTTTTTAAATATTTTTTTTAGTTGTTGACGGATCTTTATTTTATTCATTTATTTATATGTGGTGCAGAGAATCAAACCCATTGCCTCACACATGTCAGGCAAGCGCTTTACAAATGAGCCCAATCCGAGCTCTATCCTCCCACATCTTAGCCACAGGCACTCAGCACTCTACCACCTCGTTCTGAAATTTAAAGTCATATTCAGATAATGATTCTCTATTTCTTGTGTGTGCATTATTACACAACACTTAATGATTTACAGGTATGTGGAAATGAGAGTTTGCATAACTCAATGACTAAAGCACAAAACTGGGAAAGGACACACACACACAGACAGACACACACACACACGAGATTGCCCGCCAGACTCTATTCACGAGGATGTATTAGACTGCAATTTTTGCTTATATCAAGATCCATGAGGTACGACCTTCTGATAGTATACACATACTTTCTGTTATATGAAATTATGATTATTTTACATTGTTGGTGCTTTCTTGGTCTTCTCCCAGTTTCTCTGTGTAAGCCCATCATTTTCCAATTTTGAGTTAGGATTATTCAAGTTGCTCAGGTAGATGTTTTATACTGCAGGAATCATTGTCCAGCCGTCGGAAACCTCAGACTATTCCTCACATCCCTTTTGCTCCTGAGTTCTCTCCTGTCATCTGCATCATCCACCTTCATGCTGAAGGCTGCTTCCTAGGTCCAGCACCCAGCAGTCTCCCCAACACTCTCATCCCATTCCTGGAGCCCATGGCTTCCTGACTTATAGACATTTAGATGCAGCATTCTCCAGTAATTTTCTCAGAAATAGGGGTACTGGTATAATATTTTGGCAAATGTGCAGGTCTGAAATACACCTATTCCATGAAATAACAAGATATTAGTTACTTGTAAGAATTCTGGTGCTGCTCTGGTGTTTCACATAAGTCAAGGGATATTTCTCTGAATGTTGTAATGAATTCTTCATCCCTTGTGATATGCAATGCTACAACCCTGTGTTTTGGGTGGATGCTTTTATTTCACTCTCTCTGATGGATGATTGGAAGAATTTTCTACTAAGATGGCAAAATATGAAAGTCTTTACTCCACAGTTCTTCCCTCCCTTGAGAGCACATGCCTTTTCTGATGTTGAAGGAAGAGCTCAGATTCTCCAAAGCTTCCTTTCAGCCCCACACCTCAATCTTTTTTGCCACTACATAAGGTACCTTAGGAAATGGATTCTGAAGCTCAGTATGTTCCCTTAAAGTTTTTTGCCTGCAAAGAAAATATTTGTCACCTGATGAGTGAAGATGTGAAAAAAATGGTATAATGCTATTAGTTGACAAAGGATTTGCCTGAGCAGAAAAGCCTCCCTTTTCAACCTCAATTTCCCTTCATTGATTCCTGTTATTTCCAAACAAGAGAATCTTGTTGGAGTTCTAAGAACAGAGTTTGCTTTTCTTTCTTCATAAATTTTCCTCTTCTAATATTCAGGTTACCAGACCATCCTCCTTTTAGATTCCATCACCATCCTTGAATCTGCTTTCTATGTTAAGAAACTTGGTGAAGAGTATATAAAGTGTTTATTGTTCACGTCCTCTCGTGCTTGAAAGAGAATGAGTATAACAAATAATTGTGTTGCCATCCTTTTAGTGGAATCCTCACACAAGACTCAAAAAAAGTATGCTTATTGCTACTGCATGAACAAAATTCCTTTAAAGGTGATTTTTAAGTGGTATTGATAAAACATCAAATTTTTGACCACCCCTCAAGAAAGTTCTTACTCCATGAAACACAAGTTCTATGGAAGCAGTCTGTTGAAATGATGAATTAAAAAATTAGGAACAGATCTGCCAAAATTAAAATACCTTTCTGACATATATACATGAATAGAATACTTCCAAGTGAGGAATCATCTCAGGAAGCTTCATTACATTCTAGGATTTCCACCAAGGCTTCAAGAAGGAGTTTCCTTTTCCCTACCCCAGAATTAGAATTAGCAGAATGAGGAGAGGCATCTTCAAGACTTCATCTGCTGAACCAAGTGGTATTTGGGGATACAAACAGGAGACATTCCCATGCCCGTGGATGCTGGCTCTGCCACCACAAATCACCTCCAATGAAATGCAGACACTGCACCAGGGTTCCACTGCCTCTCCTACTGCCATGCTCTCTTCACTTTCTCAGCCCTCCTCCTGATCACACTTGGTGGCAGAGAAAACTAAACAGTGAAGCTTCTATAAGACAAACAAGTGAGGACCAAGCACTTCTTCCCAACATCTCTCTCAGTTCACTTGCTCGTCATCTGTGTTCATACCTGTGACCTGTGGGTGCTTCAGCAGGAGCAGGAGAGCATATCTCAGTGTTGTGCTTGTTGTCTCTGTGCCAGCACCAAACAAATCAGAGGCAGCAGTCACCAAGTTTTCATACGTATACTCCAACCCTTGATTGTCCTTTTCCTAGGAATGATTTGATACTATTACATGTCAAGTCATTTGCCAATGGATGAAAATACAGTGAACCACATTAACTCATAATGTTGTAAAGTTGGCCAACACAGACCCTGAAGCATGCAGTACTACAAGCATTAACTGGTTGTCACGGCAGAGACTATATATCCCTTGACCCAAACTTCTTTTCCTACACTTTATTTCCTACCTGAGATTCTATGCAGCGTGATCGATGAGCTGTGTAACATGTTTCTTTCCCCAAAACAGAAGGAGCATGTCGGGTGGCTCTCACCCTGGAAGTGAAGGCTTAATCATAAAAGTGAATGCCCCAATCTTAAATAGGGAGTCAAAAATAAAAGGCTTTTTTATTTGTATTACAGAAAATAGGTGAATGAGTACTACATCGTGGTAGATGTTATAAGTCTGAACAGGAGTTTTCATTTCTCTTCCGTCAAAAATTGAAAAAGTCTCAATAGAACCCACAATTTTCATAAAGTACCAATTATGAGAACAGCATTGTAGCAAATCCTAGAAGTTATCAGAGGGAAAGAGAACAGGTTCACCAAGACAGGATGGGCCAGCACTAATGTAATGAACAAGGGAAAGAACAGATATATGGTCTAGGGGACAAGAATAAAAATGCATTAATTGAAAAGTCACTAAACCATAAAGACAAAAAGTTGACACATTAACTGTCCAAATGGGATATATGACAGCGAAGGGGTAAACAGATGCAAAAGATAAAGTTTTGGACTGAAAAGACTATGAAAATGAATTGAAAACATCATAGCTGTTTAAATACTGAGTAAAGGGGATCATTATTATAAAAAATACATTATTTGACAGCTAGTTCCAGGGCTAGCATGGTACATTCATAATCTCTATATGGCTATGTTATGCTTCACATATGTAATTAACACCATCAAAACAAACTAATCTCTTTCAACACACATACTGGGTAACCAAGCTCAGTATATGTCTTGGAAATACCTACTTCATATTGAGCCTGTTAAGTCAAAGTTCATCAATTAAGTCTCAAGTTAACAGTCATAGACCAATGTTAACTGGTGTGCTCTAAAACCAATGTTAATGTTTCTATCACCTAAGATGAATTTGGAGAGTTACTTTATATAGGCATATATGCAATCACAATTAGCCTTGTATAAACCATATAGAAAATTCTTTTTTAATACTCATTTTCATTTTTTTCTATATCTTCATTTATTTTTATATGGTGCTAAAGATCGAACCCAGTGCCTCACCTGTGCAAGGCAGATGCTCTACCACTGAGCTATAGCTCCAGCCCCTACAAAATTATTTTAAAACTAAATAAATGGGCACACATTCCATGCTACACAATCAAATATTAACATTGCTATGGAATCATTACTTAGTGATGTCACAAACATCATAGATCAGATCTTCCAGGAACTGGCCTTTCCAAGAAAACAACTGTCAACCTCACGTAACCCATATAAAGAAACTTCTAGGGAGTTGTGTTGTCTAGGCAAAGATCTTCACCATCCAGCAGTAGTTCATAAGGAAAGGGTCTGAAAAATTACAGTAAATTTGCATTTCAAATAGAAGCTGACACTCCCTATTCCCCAATTCTGGGATAAAGAGTTGTGGGCATACTGTAGTGTGTTTCCGTGCAGCCTGCTTGTTCCTCGCCAAAATTAGGAACAGGTTCCTCCAATAACCAGTGTTGCATCTTTTGATTGTTGATGGTCCACACAGAGCCTGGCCACTGCTTCAAACATTATGGACTCCAGTGACATCCCCACTGGCAATACATGAAGAATTTAAACAATGATTTCCTCTTCTTTACTTATTGGATCACAGGACTTAGGAAAATCACCATCAGCCTTCTTTTACTGCTCTGACATAACAAAAATGTGATTAATTGTCTCCAGAAATATAGATTTTGCAAAAATTATTTGGAACAACTCTCAAGTAAATGATTTGCTGTAGCCTTCATCATGCTATTCAGCAATTGCTGTAACAGAAAAATGCTCTTCCTTAATGAGTCATCCAGTTGCAATGGTAAATTCCAATTCTCAACGATAAATTACATAAATTTTTTATTCACATCCTCTACTGACTTCCTTAATTCACACAGCTGTTTTTCTATATTTTCTTGGTATTGACTGATCATATTATAGTCATTCATTGTATTTATTTATTAAATATTTCATCCACTTCAGTATCTTTGGGGTCAGTAGCTAGTGAATTATGAACTTTTTCAGCTATGTGTTACCTTGTATTTTCATATATCTTGTATTCCTGTGTTGTTGTATGCATCTGTTCAAGTGGATTTCTTTACCACTCTTATGTGTAGGCCTTTTTAAGGCACAGTCTTCTCTTGCCAAAGTGTCCTGGACTTCTCGAGATTGAGACCCCCTCATAGTTGGGATATAAAGAAACTTTATGTTAATTCACTGTTTTTGCTGTAGCAATGAATTTCTATGAGTGAGACCTAAAGGCCCTCCATTAGCTATTCCTACTTACTGGTTTACTACTTACTTATTCCTATTACTGGTTTTTCTCTTCTATTTATTGTAATAAACTAGAGATGAACTCTGGTAATTTATGTGTACAGAAAGGTGCCCTTTTCATCATCAGGTTTAGTTCAGCAGCAGAATTTCTATCCCATAAATTTCTACTTCCCTGTAGATTACCATCATCTCACAGGAAAGAGGGAAACAAACATAGCAACAATCAAAGCAAAAGCAGACAGTAGTAAAATTGGTGCCTGCTGTATCTCTGTAGAGTAAATGATGCTGAAGACAGATGCTGAAAAAATGGTCAGTCTTGAAAATTCAAACATTGTTAAAGAAAAGAAAAGAAGTAGCCATGACCAGAATATACAAAAACTCTGGAACAATACTAAGAAACCAAATTTAAGAATCATTAGAATTGAAGAGCAGTGGGAACTGTGGGCTAATGGAATTGATAGCCTTTTCAGGTAAATAATAACAGAAATTTTTCCAAATGCAGAGAGCAAGATGGCCATCAAGACACAGGATACATTCAGAAACCAAAATATACAAGATTGAAAAAAGAAACTCTCCACAAAACATTATAATGAAAATACCTATCATATAGACCAAGGATAGAATGTTAAAACACTCAAGAAAAAAATTCATGTCACATTTAGAAGAAAGGCAATCAGAGTTACTTTGAATTTCTGAGGTCACACTCTAAAATACAGAAGGACTTGGAATGATGTATTTCAAGGGCCTGAAAGAAAATAACTGCCAACCAATATTGCTACATTTAGCAAAACGATCCAGCAGAATTTTAGCAGAACAAAAACCTTCTGAGATAAGCAGAAACTAAAAAAATTAATGACTACTAAGCTGTTACTAGTGAAAATACAGAAAGAAATACTATTCAGAAAAAAATCAAAAACAAATCCAAGTCTCACAAAAGAATAAATTTCATTTGAAGAACAGCTAAGCAAATGAGGAAAAGGACCAAATTAAACATTATAAATAAAGCAAAATGCCAGCAATGAATAATCAACTCTATACAATAACATTGAGTGTAAATGGTCTCAGCTCCCCTAAGTAAAACACATAGGCTGCCAGAATGGATTTTTTTAAAAAGATCAAATTATATATGATTTGCAAGAGACTCAAATTATAGGCAAATACATCCACAGGCTGAATGTGAAAAGACGGAAATACCATGCAAATAGAGCCTGAAAACATGCAGAAATTGCTATTCTCATATACAGCATAAGAGAATCAAGTGTCGTGTGTTTTCAGTCATATGTGAAAGCTACATAGGAAAAAGGAAAAAATGTTGTGGTGGGATCTCATGGAAATGGAAGGGATATCAGTATAGTAGAGGAAAGTGATCATGGGGAGGGAAGAGGGAAGGAAAAGGGGAAATACTGGGGAATGTTATTGGCCAAATCATAATGTTATACTGTGTGCATGTACTTGTATGAAAAAAATGAATCCCACCATTAAATGCAACATTATGCAACAATAAAATATGGGAGGAAATAAAAAGCAAAAGAACACTAGATAATAAACCAAGGCCATATTAAGAAATAATTATCATTATTAATAATAACTACATGGTTTAATAGAAAATATGCTCTGATACTCTTTTATTTCTATGTAGTTTTTTAGTTTCTATAACAAAGAAATATGCAAAAAAACACAACTGTTTTTTTATACTGGAACCTATTTAAAGATATAGATTGTGACTAATAACAACAAAAAAAGAGATGAGTTTGCATGGGAGTAACACTATCTGTGTGCAATTTGAAGCTTAGAATCAACTCAACCTGGACTATTAACATTGACCATGTTAAAAGAAAACCACATGGTAAATAATAAGAAAAAAACTAAAAACAAAGAAAAAGAGAGGAAATTTTAAAGTTTCAATAGAAAAATGTTGATCAGTTAAGACATTATCAAAAATATGTAATGTTATTGTGCACCTGCATATCCATCCATCAATTGAGCTCAACTTGTATGAGGTAAACATTACAAATGAAGAGAAAAGAGAAGATTATGCATTCTTCTCAGGAGAACATAAACCCTTCTATTCTCCAGGACAGTCCAGGTGGTGGGACATACACAATTCTCAATAAATTTTAAAATCACATGATCATAGAAAATATCTTCCCTGATCCCAATGGAATGCAACTAGAATTCAAGGAGAGAAGGAAAATCTTCCAATACACAACATGCTCTTCTACAACTAATGGGTTAAAGAGGGAATCACTAGGAAAACTAGATAGGACTGAAATGTAAAGGAAACAAGATACAATACAACAAAACACTGACAGGAAGCAAAAACCAGTTCTTAGTGGGAAACTTAGAGGGGTAGTACTTACAATCAAAGAGAAGACAAGAGCTCAAGTACAATGTAACTTCTCAACCTGGGACTAGGAAGATAAGAGCAGGCTGAATGCAAAGCCCACAGAAAGGAAAAACAGAGCTTCATTACCTCTTAGAAAGGCAATGTGATTGTGAGAGGGGAAAACAAGAAATGAAAAACAGAGTGGGAAAACAGCTGAATACTCACTCAAACCAAATATTGCTTCTCAGAAACTGTAAGCAATTGTCCGAAACCATTAGCTGGACTAAGTACAAATAGAGAGAAGACACCAACCACTAAATTCAGACATGATAGCAGGAAACTACTGATTTTACAGAAATAAAAATGGCAACAAGATATTACCTTAAATTACTGTACAACAGCGAATAAGATAATCTGAATAACAGGAAAATTTAATAGAAACACAAATTACAAACTGATTCAAGGTCAGTATGCAAAACATGATCAACTGCAACAACTTAAGATAGACAATTTGTAATCAAACTCCCCCCAAAAGAAAGGTGGATTGTGTGATATACTGGTGGATTCTATCAAAAATTTTAAATCATAGTATGTACACCAATAAAAAAGATAAGCACTCAGCCACACAAAAGAGCAAAATGGTGATACTTGCTACAACTTAGATGAGTCTCCAATGCATTATATAGAATAAAAGAAGCCAGAAACAAAAGGTTGCATGTGCCACAAGGTCTTTCATTATTTATCCACGATGGGAAGACCCATGCAGACAGAAATCAGAGTGTAGGGGTGTGGAAGAGGGGTGTGTTCATTTCATGGTACATATACTTTTGAGAAAAAATTAATAGGTTTTGAAACTGGAGACAGATACGCTCACAGAACACAGTAAATGCTATAAATACCAATAAAGTTAACTTCAAGAAGGTTCACTGTATGGTATGTGAATTTCATCTCAATTTTCTAAATGACAATGATGAGACACAAATTTATTGCAATTCATGTCATAATTCCACACTGGGTTTTTGCTGAAACTGACAATCTCATCTTGAAATTGATATGGAAATTCAAAGGACCTAGAATTGCCTAAAAGTCCTGAACACCAACAACACAGTTGGAGAACTCACATTCCTATTTCAAAACATGAAACACAGGAACACTGAAGAGGACAAGACATCAGGATGCTGAACCTCCTGGCATAGGGTGGACATACCCATCGTGGAGCAGCATGAGAGTCCACATACAAAGCCTCACATTTATAGTAACTGGTCGTTGACAGGGTGCCAAGGAAATTCAATGGAAATAAATACCCTATTAACTCATGCTGCATTGACAGCACATTCCTGCTTACAGGGTCCCTGACAGACACCATCTCTAACTCTGTGTTATATGTGACTTCATTTAAAGCTGCATTCAACAAGGCTTCTCTCTTCTCTGCACCAATCTTGCCCACACCACCATCTACAAGACTCAACACATCTTCAATTTACTCTTCTGTCCACGCTGCACATGTCAAGGTCTGTTTCAGTCCACAGGACATTCAGATGGTGCACCTGGGGTAAGCTGCTTCTTTCTATGTCCCCAAAACCTGTGCAGAGATGAACTCCATCCTCATGTCATGGCGAGGTATTTTATATGTTATAACTTGACTGGAAATTGTCTCTTCGGCAGCCACATCCTTCCTTTTGTTTCATTATTAATTTGTGTCATCTCTTCTTTCTTTGAGTCAGTCTAACTGACCATTTGTGCATTTATTAACTCTCTCAAAAACCTAGGTGTGCATTCTTTCTCCTCACATAGATTTTTATCTAAAGAATAGAGTCAGAATACTCTGATTATTTAATAATTGCATGTTTTCCCTGATGCTTCCTGGAGATTCATGATACACTGGGTTATCAAAGTGCTTCATAAGCACTATTGTCCTGATCATGTAACATTTCTACAAATTTAAAGGAGCTCAGAAAACCACAACATGATCAAGGAATCAAAAAACTAGGCTGATGGCAACACTTTACCTGAGCCATTTTTATCAGGAAACAGTCAATGAAATCCCGAGGATTGTTAACATCCAGGGATTCTTCATGTTCTTTTACTTTCTCCATAATATAATTTCTAATATAATCAGTATTTTTGAACAAAATGTGATGACTTCCTGGAAGATAATCAATGAGAGCAGGGAAATTATTGTAGACCTAGAAGAGAAAACAATAATATATTTATAAAAAGTACTTAATTAACACATAGGTGACATGTTGCCAGCTTTCATAAGAACTTATAGCTCTATATGTAAATAAAATTTGGGTCTATCTTGAGGTGTCATTGTTACTGAAAAATATATAATTCAATCATTCTTATAGAATGATTTATGGGAGAATTTTCTTACCAGAGCATCACAAGTGATAATCATTCCTGAAATTTATAAAACTTCTTAATTCTAAAACTTAATTTTATACAACTTCACTTGTTTTCTCCATCAGTTTTCCCCGAAACATGAAATATGACAGCATGAATTAATGTGATTCACTTTTCATAGATAACAAAAGACATTAAGGGATATGGGGAACATTGATTTAGAACACAACACTAGTCCCTGCTTTTTTATTTCTATCAACCAGCTTCAGATATGGAATGAGGTGGCCCAAAAAAACATGGAGCTCCACTGTCCTCTAGAGCAGTCTCTCCTAACCCAGTGATCTTTTTAGCTAGGATAGCAGTTGCACCTCAAAACCCCTACCCCACTCAGTGATTCCTCAAAGTTTCATTGTCCCTACCATTCTCTTTACTTCCAGAAAATATACTTTTTCTAATTGAGATATTCCTGCCACATGTTTGGATGAAAATTCCTCCAAGTGTTGATTGCTGGGTAGGCCTTGTGGGAAATGGGAGCTTTCAAAAAGTCCTAGGATGTCCACTGAGTGACATGGTCATCCTCTGGGCAGTCACCAAGATCCTTACCAAAAAAAGGCTTTTGATATGTAAAGAAATATCCACTCACTGGAGTGGGCTAAAAGCCAGCTCTATACGTGCACCTTCATATTCCTGCATGCCAAATAAAGAATTCAAAACCTTTCCGATACTTGCTCCATGGCTCTAGGCAAGACAGTACAATCCAAGCAATCACATCACCTCATGCACCATATACTATTTTGGATGTGTCTGAAGAAAAAAGACTAAAGTGTTTCTAAGGGAGAATGGATCTTGGCCTCACTTGCGCCCATGCAGAGCTCAGAATCCTGACGTTTTCATTTAACTTGTTCACCAAGGTGAGAAAATCTGGATCTTGGTACTCATACCGGTTCTTGAAAATAATGGAGCAGATCACATTGCAAGGAGCACAGCCCAGGATGAAGGTGGGATCACAGGGTGAGCCTAAAGAATTGGAAATGAGTCAAAATACATTCTATGATCATGTATAACTTAAAAGGACAACTATCAAAAAAATTAAAATTTAATAAAAATATTTCAATAAAAAAGAATTGGAAAGTATTTTAAAATATCTTTAAAATTGGCCATTACAGCCATGCTACCTAAATAAATGAGTTTAATATACTCAGCTCATGTCCACTGCCTAGACTTATACACTTTATACTGCAACATTCTGCTATTTGGGAAGATAAAGACTTATCTTTCTGGGGCTGGGGCTGTGGCTTGGTGGTAGAGTGTTCTTCTAGCATGTAGGAGGCACTGGGTTCGATCCTCAGCCCCACATAAAGATAAAATAAAGATACTAAGTCCACATAAAACTAAAAAATAAATATTAAAAAAGACTTAACTTTCTACTTAACAAGTCCAGTATCCAGAGCAGAAACACAGGTATATATGATGTACACAAACAGAGCAACTGACAGCAAAATATTCACATGCATTAAAACAAAGAATTGTCAGTGCAATGGCACATGCCTGTAATCCCAGAGGTGTTGAAAGATGAGGGAGGAGGATTGCAAGTTTGAGGCCAGCCTCAGCAACTTAGTGAGGCCCTAAGGACTTAACAAGACCCTAAGAATTAGCAAGACCCTGTTTCAAAATAAAAAATAAAGGGGGCTGGAGATATGGCTCACTGGTAAAGTGCCCCAGGTTCAATCTTCAGTACCAAAAAGAACAAAGAATCACTTTTACCTAACTCTGAGTAGGCCCTGAAAACCTAACATGTTAAATAATG